TGCAGTGCTGGTAGTGGTTTCTTCAGCTTGGTTCCTCTGCAGAAAATGCTGCTGGCATCAGCCATTGGTAACATCAGCGGGTCCTTGGTGGTGAAAACTGTGAGGAGCGGCACAGTGGCCATGAGTGCTGTTGAGGGCCTCACCGCAGAAGTCCCCTAGAGCCCTGTGTTGAGCCGACCACTAGGGGTCGCTGTGGCTCCCACCAGCCTGGCTGATGCTGACAGCCTGGTCCACTTCTTGGTTCCCCATCATCTCCACATGTTTCGGCGATGCCAGTTCCCGCGGAAATGTGAGCCGAGTGAAACTGAAGCTGCTTGGGCAGTGTCCCAAAACGCTGGGGAAGCTGGTTGTACGCCCTGCCCTCATTTTCCCTGAAAGAAGGATATGCAAGCCAGGGAATTCCCTCTCCATGCTGAGCAGTGCTGGCTCGGGGGATGGGGTGATGTGGGCAAAATGGAACTGTTCTTTCCACCCTTTCTGTGCGGGTGTTTCTAGGATTCTTTCTCCCGCTGTTGCTGAAGCTGACTTCTCAACTCTTCCAGAGTAATCTTTTTTTAGACTGAGCCTGGCTCTGTTGCCCAGGCTGGAGTACAGTGGCACCATCTCTGCTCACTGCAGCCTCCCAGGTTCAAGCAATTTTCCTGCCTCAGCCTCCCGTGTAGCTGGGATTACAGGCACGCGCCACTAAGCCCAGGTAGTTTTTGTATTTTTAGTAGAGACAGCGTTTCCCCATGTTGGCCAGGCTGGTCTTGAACTCCTGAGCTCTAGTGATCCTACGCCTCGGCCTCCCAAAGTGCTGGGATTACAGGCATGAGTCACCGTTCTCAGCCCAGAGTAATTTTTGTTCATATATAGTTGCCAAATTGTTGCATTTTATGGGGAAAGGAAGGTTGGCTCCCTTCCTCTGCCATCATGGTAGGAAATAATTGGCTGTCTTCCATCTTACTTTGCTGTTTGTTTCTCCTGGTCTCTGTTTCTTTTTTTCTCTTTTCTTGCCTTCTTTTGGATTGACTTAGTAGTTATCATTCCGTTTTTTTCCTCTGCTAGTTTGGAAATTATCTACTCTGTTTTCTGTTCTTGAGTGATTTCCCTAGAATTCACAATGTGTTTTCTTAATTTATGGATGTCTAAAGGTAATCATACGTCACTGTTCAAGATAAGGGCTCCAAAACTCTTTATATCCACTTACGTGCATTCCTAAGTTACATTTGAATGTTATATCATGTTTTTGTTTTGTTTTGAGACAGTCTTGCTTTGTTGCCCAGGCTGGAGAGCAGTGGTGCAATCTTGGCTCACTGCAACTTCTGCCTCCTAGGTTCCAGTGATTCTCCTGTCTCAGCCTCCCAAGTAGCTGGGATTACAAGCGTGTACCTCATGTACTTTTATTTCATATTCTTTTACTAAAATGCACAGACATTATTGTTTATTTGTTTGTTTGTTTGAGACGGATTTTCGCTCTTGTTGCCCAGGCTGGAGTGCAATGGTGCAGTTTTGGCTCACTGCAACCTCTGCCTCCCGGATTCAAGCAATTCTCCTGGTCAGGCTGGTCTCGAACTCCTGACCTCAGGCGATTCACCCACCTCAGCCTCCCAAAGTGCAGGGATTATAGGCCTAAGCCTCTGTGTCTGGCCCGTTATTGTTGTATTATATAGTTAATGTTCAATTAGATGTACTGCTTCCTATTTATTGCTTTCTTTGATGTTTATTCTGTCTTGTATCCTGGGCCCTTCCATCAGGGATTTCCTTTTACTTAAATATCCTTGAATTATTCTTTAGTGATGGTCTGCTAGTGGCCAGTTCTTACTTTTCTTTTGAAAATATCTTTCACTGTGTTTTGAAATCTCTTGTATCTGGATACAGATTACTAGCTTGACAGTGCTTTTTTTTTTTTCCTACCACATTGAAGATAGCCCACTATCTTTCAGCTTTCTTTTTCTTTCTTTTTTTTTTCCCTGACACTGAGCTCCCTCTGTCACCCAGGCTCTTGGCTCACTGCAACCTCCGCCTCCCGGGTTCAAGCAATTCTTCTACCGCCACGCCTGGCTAATTTTGTGTTTTTAGTAGAGACGGGGTTTCCCCATGTTGCTCAAGCTGTTCTCAAATTCCTGACCTTAAGTGATCGGCCTGCCTCATCCTCCCAAATGCTGAGGTAACAGGCAGTTTCAGAGGGTACATCTGCAGGTTTGTAACATGGGTAAATTGTGTGTTGCTGAAGTTTAGGCTACAAATGATCCCATCACCCAGGTAGTGAGCATAGTACCTGATAGGTAGTTTTTCAATCCTCATTCCTCTCCCTTCTTCCTCCTTCTAGTAGTCCTCAGTGCCTGTTGCTGCCATCTTTATGTCCATCTGCACTCAGTGTTTAGCTCCCACTTATAAGTGACAATATGTGGCGTTTGGTTTACTGTTCCTGTGTTAATTTACTTAGGATAGTAGGCTCCAGCTGCATCCATGTTGCTGCAAAAGACATGATTTTGTTCTTTTTTCATGACAGTGTAGTATTCCATGGTGTGTAAGTATCACATTTTCTTTATCCAGTCTACTATTGATGGGCATCTAGGTTGACTTCATGTCTTTGCTGTTGTGAATAGTGCTGTGATGAACACATGAGTGCATTTGTCTTTTTGGTAGAATGATCTATTTTCCTTTGGGGATATGTACCCCGTAATGGTACTGCTGGGTTGAATGGTAGTTCTGTTTTAAGTTCTTTGAGAAATCTCCAAACTGCTTTCTACAGTGGTGGAACTAATTTACATTCCCACCAAGAGTGTATAAGCATTCCCTTTTCTATGCAACCTCACCAACATCTGTTATTTTTTCTTTTTAATAATAGCCATTCTGATTGGGGTGGTGAGAAACCCACCAATTAGAATGTTGTGAGAAACCACACCAATCAGAATAACTATTATTCTCTCTCTCTCTCTCTTTTTTTTTTTTTTTTTTTT